TACAGAGCGGCGACCACCGACCACGCGAAGCACGCATTGTCCGTCGTTCTAACATTGATCACCGCTCGTTTCGTCGCTATTTTCCGCGGCACTTCGAAGTAACATCCCGCGCGCATGGGATTTAGTTTGTTCACATTTACTACCAAATTGAGGATTCGCGACAATGCCCACCCGCTGTCGCGTTCTTAGAACTCTTCGAGTGATGTCAACGTAGGTTCGATGATATGCTGCTCGTACCACTCGCGCAAATCGGTGTATTGGTATATCTCGCTGTTCTTTGAAATTATGCTCTTATTAGCACGTTTATCCTTCGTCGCAAACTCGCCGTTGAACGCGATGTTCACTTTTGCACTATCGTGTCTTTCTACGGCGTCTCGCACACGTTCGAGCACTATTTCTCTCGCGTCTTCCAAAAACCGCCGCGGCTCGATGTAATCGACGTTGACCACAACATCCGTCAATATACGGCTTTCAAACGCGGCGTCGATCTCTCGCCAGACGAGAGATCTTTCATCGCGACTCGCGTACCCACCAACATGCACGAAACGTCGCTCTAATTGTGTCTTTGCACCTGCGAGTCGCGCGATCCTCGCCGCCATTGTCTGTGTCCAACGGCAATGCGCGGACACTTGGCACGACAAAGTTGTTCGAGCCGCTCGATGCACTCGTCGCATCGTTGCAGCCACGCGAAACATTCCACTAGAGTAGCGACCTGGCTGCACTGCTCCAACAGTTCGCGTTCCACTCGCTCGTAATTTTCCATGTTTTTTTTTTTCTTTAGATTATGTCACATTCTTCCACGGAGCACTTGTACGTGACTCGTTCACACACGTTGCAGTACCGCGATATATCTAGAATATCATAACGTTCTAACACTTTTTTATTATGTTTGTTTGCGAAAATGCATTATTCACACTCAAAGCATTGATCGTCGCATCTGTCGACAAATAGTTTTGGTGCAAGATCGCGATCACGAAACTCCATCCATATATTGTCAATAATCAGCAGTCCGACACACTTTTCACTATCTGCAGGAATTTTAATGCAGATGCACCAACCTTGGCTCTTATCTGCGATTTTCTTCACTCAATAATAATCGTCCTTTATTACATTGATATTTCTATTCCACCAATGTCTCTTTTCATATTCATCGTCCACGTAACATTTGTCTCGTAACCGTAGATACACTTTCTGTCGCACGAGTAAAGACCAGTCAGAAACGGGCTCTCTGATAATTGTTCCATGTTTCTCACTATGTATACCTAATTCACGATCGCGTAGGAATTGCACTGGCGATATTCGTGCACCTATGTCTCTTTTTTGCAGATTACCGAGAACATACGACACATCATCTACGTTATAGTCTTCCCACATATTTTTCAGTATGTCTCGCTCACAATACTGTTCACAATAGTTTTTTCAATGTGGGCACTTTTCAATGTGTTGCACGGAAATATAGTGTACATTTGCATTCCACAATTCGTGCAAGATCGGCCGCCTAGCGCATCAATATAATCGATATCGTGCTTCCTTACAAGATACATTCCTACAACATCGGTGTCAGCCAAACGTATCACGCATGCTGCACACACATTTAAGGCACCACCCGTTGTATAGTAGCACTGGATCATGTAGTGTTTAGTACGGCAGTTCAGTGCGCGGATTTCTGGAGACGGTACAAATTTTTCTGCGTGATCCGTATCGCGCTCACTGAAGTCGCTAACATAACCAATATCGTCGGATAGCACTTCTTCGTCGGAATCTTGGTCCATTATTTCTTCAAAATCTACATCCATTTCTTCTAACACTTTGAACACTTCGTCTCTAATATTTGCGAACTATTCCGGATCCACGTTTCTAATGTGCTCGACTACGTTGGCTATGTCCTCAACGTTCGCACGATGATCAACCATACTTTTTTTCCACTATTTTTATTGCGACCAATTCGTTCGTTCGTCTTCCAGGACACCAACTGCGGAACTGAGCGCTTATAACTCATTATATTTTTCATTTGTGACTTCTTTGTCCCTTTGCCTATTGGGTCATACTTTATTTAGAAGTAGATAAGGCAACATTGCGAGCGATTCTAGTTTATATAAACAGCATCAATGCTTCTTTTAATGCGTCGCTACATGTCATCGATTTCTCTCACTATCTCTTCTCAGAAAAAAATCATTATCGACACTTCTTCAAAGAAATTTAAGGATTGTGGGAACGTAGTGTGTTTTCATACTTTTCATTGGAGTATCACTTTCATTTTACTGTAGAAGAGTTATGTTTTGCTTAGCAGCCGAACATCGGCGCTTCTCTTAACGCGTCGCGATGTGGCATCGACCTGATAGTATATATACCAGGTGTACAAGTATAAAATGCGGATTTGAGAAAACAGATGGCGCATCAATGCAGTGTGTGGTATAAAGATTTGACTGTTATGCCATTTTGAAGTGCCAGACGCGCACGAGTGATAAATTGAAAAAGTGTTTGCATAGTGTTGTGTTGCTGTGTTCGATATGTCGAAATTTATACCAAACAAAGAGCATTCGCGGACAGCATCAATTTTTTGTTTTCATTTGAAGAAAACTGCTGCTGAATCATACCGATTACTTCGAGAAGCTTATGGTGAACATGCTCTATCGCAAGATACGTGTGAACGATGGTTTCGGCGTTTTAAAAGTGGTGACTTCGATGTTGCAGACAAGGAACACGGAAAACCGCCAAAAAGGTACGAAGATGTGGAATTGCAAGCATTGTTGGACGAAGATGATTCACAAACACAAAAACAACTCGCAGAGCAATTGAGTGTTAGTCAACAAACTGTTTCCAATCGCCTACGAGAGATGGGAAAGATTCAGAAGACCGGAAGATACCGCATGAGTTGGACAGCAGGCAGATGGAGAGGCGCAAAAACACATGTGAAATTTTGCTTGCACGATACAAAAGGAATCGTTTTTGCATCGTATCGTTAGTGGGGATGAAAAGTGGATTTATTTTGAGAATCCCAAGCGCAAAAAATCATGGGTAGACCCAGGCGCACCATCCACATCGACCGCAAGACCGAATCGCTTGGGCAGAAAGACGATGCTCTGTGTTTGGTGGAACCAGAAGGGTGTGGTCTATTATGAGCTGTTAAAACCTGGTGAAACCTGATTAATGCTGGACGCTACCAACAACAATTGATCGATTTGAACCGTTCGCTGCTTGAAAAAAGACCAGAATACCAAAAGAGACAACACAAAGTCATTTTTCTTCATGACAATGCTCCATCACATACGGCAAAACCGGTTCGCGACACGTTGGAAGCACTCAGCTGGGAAGTTCTACCCCATGCGGCTTACTCACCAGACTTGGCTCCTTCCGATTACCACTTGTTTGCATCGATGGGTCACGCACTTGCTGAGCAGCGCTTTGGTTCGTACGAAGATGTGAAAAAATGGCTCGATGAATGGTTCGCGGCAAAGGGGGAAGATTTTTACTGGCGTGGTATCCACAAATTGCCCGAAAGATGGGAAAAATGTGTAACTAGCAATGGAGCATACTTTGAATAAAGCTCTTTTTATCATTCTTCCGAATTTAACGTGTTTTTTTTTAATCCGCATTTCATACTTGTACACCTGGTAAACAGTGTATATAACTTTTGTTCTTCCAATTATAAATTTCAATTACGAGTGATAAGACATGGATCGTGTAAAAGAATATATACATCGAAAATCGATCGAGCGCAAGGGGTACCGTTCCTTGTCACCAGATCCGCCAAGTCCATCGCCACCATCGAGGGAAAAAGCGAGATATTGGGAATGCCCAAGTGAAAAAGCATCAAAATTGCCAATATGTTCTTCATCGACATCATCAAAATCGCCAACATGTTCATCATCATCAACGTCATCAATGCCATCAAAATATAAGCTATAGCTAGCGATATTTGAGCTGTCGATTGCATATGTACTTTATTTTATTCTCCATCCATCCTATGCCTCGATGTGCTAATAAAAAACCGTATTGAAAAAAAATGCACCATAAAAAAAAGGATTCATTTCTTCCATCCTTTAATCTGACACATACCAGATAATAACTGTGTCATGTAAAGCGTCATGCACGCTCTATCTTTCTCTAACGTGCGAACCCTTATTATCTACACATTTTTGGGGTGGACGCGGGGCTCGCAGCAGCGGTGGCGGCGGCGGCGGCGGCGGTGGATGAAAAAAATAAGAAACGCATTGTTTATGTAATCAATCGACCTGAGTCCTATTACAGCGATGTCGCCGGGACTTCCAGCGCCTTCCTCCCCCGCGCCCCGCGCTCCCCTCTAGCCCCATGGGTTAGAACCCGCCTTACT